CCTACCGGAGGCGCCCCCGACCGCCCTGGCCCTGAGCCTGAGCCGCCCGCCCGGCCCGGAGGCGGCTCGGTGCCCCAGAGACCGGCGGAGGCGCAAAGCCCGGGGGCCGCGTCCGGCCCTCCCGCCCCGACGGCCTCTCCTTCGCCCCGCGTCCTGGGAAGCGCAAGCAGGCGCGCTTTCACCAACAGGCCTCGTTGCCACAGGGAGGGCCTTGCCTTGCTAGTTCATTTAGCGTGGTCAGCCTGGCTTACAACGGTTTTTCACTGCGTGGTATTAGCGATCCACGTTCATTAAATTTAAAATACCTGTTGTCTGAGTGATTCAAACTGTCAGCGTTTCCTTCTTGTGGTACTGGGAATCGAACTCAGGAGCTTGTGCTTGCCAGGCAGATGCTTATGCCACTGAGCTATCTCCCCAGCCCTCCAGCTTTTCCTTCTTTGGTCAAGCGCTTCAGCTAATAAGATCAGACCTCTGCAGAAAACCCTGCTTTTGTAGAATGGCTTTTTATATGCTCCCAAATTCCATTGTTAACAATTAAATTACCAATTTCTGTGGCCATTGTTTCCTTATATGGTGAAATAACAATTCTAAATTGAACTACGGTATGTTTTCTTTTTTGGTGTTGGGAATTGAACCCAGCGCTCAGGAATGCCTGACCACTGGACCACGTGCCTGCTCCGGAGTGATCATTTTAAGCTTGTTCTTCTTGATGTCCAATACAGTGACCTTAACTTTTATACTAAAACCGGGGTTTGTGTAAATTAAATGGTAGTCTTTGCTAGACTTCCTGCTTTTCAGAAATCCTCTAAAGAACTAGTCAGTCTGCTTATCAATATTAAAATAGCATGGCAGAATGTGATAGATGCTTTTAAGATAACAAACCAGTCTGTAAAAGTAGATGATACCACGTTACTCAGCCAACAGGGGGACTTGGGAGTTAAATAGAAAACCGTTTCATGTGCATTTCACAATGAGAGATACCTTTTGTCTGCTGTTTGCTGAGGCGCTTTCCTCCAAGGAGTTGGCAGGTGTTTTTGGAAACCCTAGCAACAAGGGCAACCCAAGCAAGCCCAAGAATAGGAATAAGGTTATGTGATGCATTAAAATCAGAATTTATCAAAAGACTGTGAACAAGGCAACGAAACAAATTTTGCAGTGATTTCTAGTGGTGGTAGTTTCTGTGATGTGGTTTGCAGAAAGAAAATAAAATGGGCATAAAGGCAGTAGAGGTAGAAGATAACCCAGACAGAAATCCTGGATGGGGATGAATGGGAGTACAACCCAAAGCGTCATCTCCTTTCAGTCTCTTACGAACTCAGCGCACCCTTTCGGTAGTCCACCTCGTGGGTCACTGTCTCAGTCCTTTGGAACAGTGAGGAGTCACTTGGACTCCTACTCTTAGGCGAGCAGGACTCCAGTTCACGCCTAGCTGTGATTCAGGCCAGTCTCATACCTGCCAACTCTCCCCAGGACAGCATCCCTCCCAGGTAAGTAAACTTCCAACCTCCGCTTTGAATTGCTCAGTGGCATGATCTTTTATTGTTGCTTTTGTTCTAAGCAACTAAGTTCAGGTTGATATCTATATAATATCCACCTAAATTATAAAATTATAAATTCTTCTCTAGTATCTCTCTGAGTATCAGAACGTCTTTTCCAAATAATGCAGCTGACCAAAATAGATCTGGAAACAAAGTAACTTTCCTGCTTATACTTCCTACTGTGGAAACTGTACTCTTCTCTCCTTCCTTTCCTTTACTTTCTAAAAGTGAGAGAGAGAGAGAGAGAGAGAGAGAGAGAGACCTTAGCAATAAAGCTATTAAAGTACTGTCCATAATTAACTATTTTGCTTTGTCCCAGGTTTTATTTAAGAAGCTCTTGGAAGCTGGAAATAAGAATCTGATTTAAAGAAGCCATTTGATTTCCTCAATAAAATTCCATTTGATGAGTTGGGCTATTTATGAGCTCTGAATCAAATGTGGAATGAAAGACAATCATTTTTCCAGCAGACCTTGCTCATATACACAAAAGGATGCATACCAGTCTTCAAGTAATAAGTTTCTCTCACTCATCGACATTTTTGATGAACATTACTGTTTTCTATAGTCATAGAGTAACACACATATTTTTTTTTTTAGGTAATGCTTTTGTGAGCCACAACTTGAAATATAAACTGACTGTTCCCATCAACAAAAGTTCCCCCTGTTCATTTTTGAACTTTTCAAAATGAGCAGTAATAAACTAATTCCCAAGTTCTCCATTCATTCTCCTATCCATCATACTAACTTAAGTGTTCAGTCCTCAGATGTAGCTTTTAAGAAAGACTTAAGCCTGATTCCAAAAGACTCCTTGGAGTCAGATTCAGAAAGTCTCACTCTTAAGTCCCAGTCTGAGCTTGAGGACCAAATCCATGACAAAGAGATGGACCCGGACAGCTTAGAGGAGGAGAGCTCTGCGCAGGAAAGCCTGAGTGAGACAGAAGAGGAAGCAGGAGAAACAGCAGCTCATATGGCCCAGGAGGAAGACCTCTCTGCTCAGGACGGTGGTGGGAATCACAGGTAAGAAGCTGGCTTGTGTAAGGTGATAAGGGTCAATAATAGTGGTACCATTCCAAATGACAGTTAAGGGCAGGCTTTCCTATTGCATGCTACATAACGTGCATGAGACAGTTCCCCAAGAAGCTAAACACAGTGACTCCTTGTTTTTTGTCACTTTTCTTTTTTAATTAAAAAATACAGCAGAGGGACTGGTGAGATGGCTCAGTGGTCTAAAGCACCTACTTAAAACAAGCTTAGCAAAGCAAAGGGACCACAGTTCAATCCCCCAGC